GCGGGGCCTCGGCGGAACGAGGTGCCATGGCGCCCGCCACGCCCTCATTATCTCGGGGTGACGGCCGGGCTCCCGCTCCCAACCCCCCCCACCCCGCGCTTGGGCTGGGCTGGTTGCCCGCTGCTGGGGGGGCGGGGGAGGGGACCCCCTCGTGCCGGCCCAGGCTCCCCGGCTCTCCTCCGGAGAGGTCAGCGCGCTCCCGTCCCGGAGGCTGGCCGGAGAGACCGGGCCAGCCGCCTCCCGCTGGCAGTGCTTGGTGCCCGCTAAGGCTTGTGGAAGCCGAGCGCGCCTCCTCACGTCACTCCCCTTCTCGTTCTCGGCAAGAGGCACCCAGCAAGCCCGTCCGCCCCAGGCGCCCCCACCGGGGCTGGCAGCCTCATCTCCTCGCCCCTCAGTCCTGCACTTTCTCAAGGGTCACCTCAGAACCTGCTGCTGCCCACCCTTAGTGACAACAGGACTTCTACTCAGAGCCCCCCCACCCCACCCCACCCCCGGGAGCCCCCACTGTTGAGTGGCTGCAGGGTCCCATCCAGAACTGCCTTTTGTCTTCTGCCATAGTCAAGAACACTCCTGGCTAGCCAGACTCCTCCAGCTCCGGGGTGGCCCCCTCCCCATCCCTGCTGGGGGCCATGCCAACCCCTAACAGAGGCAGCTGGTGGGGCCCTGGCAGGGTGGTTGGTCAGGAGCTAACTCTCTACAGTGGCCCATCACTCCTCAGAGGGAGCCTGAGTGACTGCCCGGCGCTCTCCCACCCAGGGCTCTGTCCAGGGCTTGTACCAAGGGTCTGCAGCCCTGCGGGGGGAAGGCTGAGATGCAGGAAGCCATGGGAATAAAGGGCCCAAGGTGCCCCGAAGGGAGCTGGGGATGGGGACAGGGGGTCAGGCCGTGTCTGTGACCCAGGAGAGATGGGGAAAGGAGAGGGGCAGGGGCTCCACCTTCAGGGGCTTCACCATCCTGCCCTTTGGGGTACTCCAACCTTTGCCTTTTTTCTGGGATTTTTTTAAGGTGGCGGAGGTGGGGACAGTGGGGGGGGGAACGGTGGTGGGAGTTCCTGCACTTCCACTCATTGCCCATAGAACAGCCTGGCTACAAAAGGGGCTAGGACGGGCAGCTGCCCCCGGGGCCCCAGGTCCTTCCTCCAATCACAGCACAAAACTCCAAAGTTCTAAGTCCCCTGGAAAGTGGCAGTGACAGTCGCAGTGGCGGGGCTGGACGTGGCTGAAGAATCACCAGGCCTCAGTCCTCGGCGCCATCTGTCCGGCGGCAGCTGGGCCCTTCCGCCGGGGGCCGGTTTGGCTCTCCGGCTGCCCCCACCAGGTCAGACCATCTCCGGCAAGGAAGAAGCACTGGCATCTGCTGGGGAAAAGAGAGGGAAGAAGCCTTTTTCAATAGAGCCCAGTGGTCTTTCCTTGTCAGCAGTCCCTTTAGAGATGGTTTTAGGCAGAAGGTCCCAAAGACAGGAGCCCTCTCCTTCTTCCAGGGACGCTATGCCAGCCTTGGAACTCTGCCCGAGGTCATGTCCCGCCCCCCCACATCCAAGCTCCAGGAACAGCAGGAGCAGGGCCTCTGGCAGCCAGAGCTGGAGTTGGGGGCTGAAGTCCAGGCCGAAGCAAGCATATAGGGAGGGCTCAGAGGTGGGGAAGTGGCCAGCCCGTTCTGGGATACAGCAGCAGCTCAGAGGGGCTGCACCAAGGGGACCCGTAGGGGCAGAAAGTAAATTAGGGTCATAATTTGGTAGGCCCCACACACCAGGCCGAGGAGTTTATAAGCCTCTACTAGGAGGGCTCACTCCAAGAGCAAGGGAGAAAGGGCAGAAGAGTGGTGTCCTGGGGACGGGTGAACAGAGTCAGGGCCATGAACCACACTAGCAGCTGCGAACCAGGCAATGCGAGTCTACCAGCGCAGGGTGGAAGGGAGAGGAGAAATGAAATGGGCAAGTCCGGAGAAGATGCTGTCTGGCTTCCAATGACTTCAGACCCAGGGCTGGAAAGATGGTCGTGGGCACAGCTGGGATGCAGAGTGGATGTGGAGGACTGCCTGAGAGGGAGGGTCAGAGGGAGGGGCCCACTGCACAGGGGTCTTGCTGTTGCTAGGAAGGAGGGTGGTGAACTGCCAGAGAGTGGGAGCGAGAGGGTCAAGGGCAGAGCTCCCGGGAGAGCTGGGACTGTGGCACTGGGAGGAGCCCCGGGAGCAGCTCGGAGGATAAACAGCAGATAGGAAGAAGGCCCAGGGCTCCTGGGCCACAGGGGTGGGTGGGGAGCAGTTTCAAGAAAGACAGTGGGCATGGCATGCAGAAGGGAGCACCAGAGGATGCAGAACGGAAGGACCTGGCCCTGGGGTGACCTTCCTGCATCAATCTGGGGGTGGTGGGAGGGCTGCCAACCTGCAATGGGTGAAAGACGATGCCATTTTTTCCCCAAGTTGGGCAATGAAGGAAAATAGTGAAACCTCTTGGTTTTGAAGATGGGGAGGAGGAGGAGGGTGTAGACTTGAGGAAGGAGCTAGAAAGGGAAAAGCTGGACGACTCAGGAGAGAAGGAATGATGGCAAGGTCCTGATGTGTGGGCGGCTTTGGCGCAGACACGTTTGCCTGGGGGAGAGGGGCGGTGGAAAGGGGAGGGAATGGCAGCAACCGAGTGGGAGTGGGGGCCTTCACCCCAGCCGGCTGTATGGGGGCATCCTGGGCCAGTGGGGATCGCGGGTGCAGCTCCGTGCCTGAGGACGGCCCCAGCTTCGGCATCCTGGGGGATGTGGGAGGCAGTCAGCTAGGTGTGAAGGCCAGCCGCCCAGGCTGGTTGATCCACCTCCACGACAACTATCCCGAGGGCAGCAGCTAGCCATTTCTTCATAGTGTGAGACAGGGCCACACCTACCACACCGTCCGCTTGGCAGGGGAAAGCCCTGTAGATGCTGGCCACTGGGACCAGGACAGCAGCTTGGGGAAGGGTGGGCGGGTTGCCTCCTGATGGGGAGGGGGGCCGGAACAGGGAACAGGTTCTACTGAGCCCCGGAGGGGCTGCTGACATTCCCTGCTTCACCCCCAGGGATGCACAGAAGAGAAGGAGAAGCCCGAGGGCCCACGGCTCCAGCCAGCAACAGAGCTGCCTGGAGGGAGACTGTTTCTTCATGTGGTTGGGTCAGATCCTACACCACCCAACCCAAGCAGGCAATGGGACAGTTCTGTGTGTGCACGGCTGTGGGGAGGCCACTTCAAGTTTTCCTAAGTCGTCCCCTTACTGTGCAGTATATGTCCTGTCTTTCAAATGGGCTGTCAACTCTCAAGGTCAAAGCTGACTTTATCCCCCTTGTTCCCAGGATCTGGCACAGGCAAGTGTGATTACTTTGCTAAATGAATAACCAAAAAAAATAAGGAAACGCAAAAGGCTGGTTTTCATGCAGAAGACCATGTCCCCTGCCACAATGACAAGGGAAGAAAACCCGAATCTGTGCCATCCAGTTGCCTGAGCCCAATGCCTCTGGATCCCTGGGAAAACCCCCGGGGTACGGGGCATGGCAGGCTCCAGGCCTTACCTCTTACTGTCCTTCCCTTAGGGCTTCCTCCACCTTGGGTGCCTCGTGTCGCCGTCCCCGGAAGTCTTCATCTGAAAAGCAGAGGGAAGTTGCCTCATGTTCCACCATGCAGGGCCTCATCAGGCATGCCCCTGGGCTGGGCAAGAGCTGACCCACCACTCTCCATCCCCTTTGTTTGCTGGGGCACATGCTGAACCTGGCGTGGGGTGGGGTGGGGACATGTGGGTGTGCTGAGAGGCACCAGGGCACAGTGTGGGGTTAGGACACCTGGCTGCTGGCCTGGCTCCGTCAGTGAGCTTGGACGAGTTCTTCCCTCAGCTTCCCCATCTGTAGAATGGGTGGGGAAGTGGTACCCTCCACATGGCCTCTAAGACCCTCCTAGCCCTTGTTTCTGGATGTCTCCTGACCACCAAAGGGCCCCTCTGCTCTGAGGCATGAGGATCAGCTTCAGCTATGGGCCTGCTAGGGTCTAAGGCAGTGTCTTCTGGCCCACATGGCCTTTGGGAGGAACTGGATGAATGCTGAAAGGCCTCTGGGCCCAGGGACTGAAACTGTGTAGCGCTTGGTTGTCCAGATGAGGCCCCTCCACGTGGGTAGGCCTGACTGCCCCCTCCCACCCCAGAGAAGAGACCCAGAAACAGCACCTGACACTTTGTGCTCCAGGGAGAGATCTAGGTGGAGGTACAGCTGGGGCCCCCTTTTGGGAGTGGAAGGAAGGGAGAGGCAATATGAACCAAGTGGGAAGACCCATTTCTTCGGGTCACCTGCCCACCTACCCACGATGTGTCCCCCAGGTTGGGTCCACCCACAAAATACCCGGGCCCTTCTCTTGGGAGGGTCACCGATGACAAGCAACTTAGAGCTCAAGCTCCCCTGCCCTCCTGGCCTCACCACAAGTGTGGCCCTCCACGTCGTCCAGGAGATTAGCCGTTGAGACCGCAGCTCCCAGCCTGCCAGGCCATTCAGGAAAACTGTCTCAGGGATGGGTGGGCACTGCCATCATCCTCCTACTTCTACCAGTCCCTGTCCCTGGCCTCTACCACCCACTCCCAGCTCAGGAGGCTTCTAGCATTATCCCCCAACCCTCCCCAAAGCCTCCTTTCCTCGGGATCAGGTGAACAGCCAGGTCCTGACTTTCTCACCCAGCTCCCATCTCTGGGCATGGAGAAGGGAGTTCCTCCCTGTTCCCCTCTGGCTGTTCAGCTTCTAATATCCTGGGCCCGTGTAACAAGCATGGGGAGGAGTCTGGGTTAAAAGGTGGAGAACCTTATTTTTACTCAAGAAATGAAAGCAAGAAGGCAGGTCCAACGTGCTTGAAATGGGGAGGCAGCAAGATCTATGGATCAATTCAACTCAAGAAACTAGTGAGAGGTTTGCCGATTTCAGTGGAAGAACCACGTCTTCTACCAAGAGTAGATGAGCCCAGCCAGAAAGTGAAGATGTCGTGGGACAACTCGGGAGCCCACAGAAGGGAGTGGGAGACGCTGGCCTGCTCCCCAACCGGGTCATGCGGCTCCAGGCTGGGCGGTGGGCTGGCCTCGGGGCGCACGGAGGAGGCAGGTGGCTGCAGAGCCCGTCCCAGCCCCAGCCCCTGGGGAGGGAGCAGCCTCGAGAGTCGGGCCAGGGGGTCAGCGCCCTCAGCACCCACGCCCCTGCCCTGCGCCAGGCCGGAAAGGATACGACTGGTGCTTGGACAAGTGTTTCCTCTTTGACTTCCTCATCCTGGTCTTCTCGGAGAAGGCCCTGGCCAGCTCGAACAGCTTCCTCCGGGTGGCTGGGGCAGAGAGACCCGTGAGCCGCAGCTGCAGGGCTGGCCTGCGGTCGGGGCAGGCGGCGGGGCGACAGGAATGCAGTGGGGAGGGGAGCGCCCCGCCCCCCGCCCCCCCAGCAAGGGGGCTGCCATCCGGGGCCGGCCTGCAGGGGCAGCATAGGCCACCGAGAGCGGGGCCCGCCCGGACAGGCAGCCCGAGATCCGGGTATTCCTGCCCCAGCGGCGACAGACAGCAACGCGTCCTGGCTGTCTTTCCCGCCGCCTCCCCCGCCCCCCTCGCCACCTCCAGAGTTGGTTCTGGGATTTCCATGACTAATCCGAGATTTTCCCTGAAATGGAGCCTGGAAGGATGGCAGCCTCATTCACACATGGTTGTGTGGTAGGGCGGGGAGGAGGAAGGGTAGGTGCGGCCCGGCTGGCAGGACTTTGTGGGAAGAGGTCACAAACCCTCGGGCCTCCTGCCCACAGAAAGTGGGCTTAGCACGGGCCTCCCCACTCATCAGGCCTGGCCAAGTCCCCTCAAGCCACAAAGGACGTGAACTCTAAAACGGGGGTGGGAGTGTGGGGGGCGGTGCAGCACATTATTATTTTTCTGCAGACAGCTGGCTCAAGAGGATTTAACACTGAGTCTGTATTCAGACTTGGCTGCAGAGGGAAGTGAGGCAGGAAGGCGGAGGGAGCCAGCCTGCGATTAAAATGTCACTTTGGTTCACCCAGAGTCCGCTGTGTATTCAAAACTCCTGGTGGCTCCCTCCCTCCCATGAGGCCACAGGGCCCGTCTTAGAACAGATGGGGAGGGGGCATAGGCTGGACTCACATTTTCCCATGTGTTTCAACTTGTCCCTGAATAAGGCATCTTCAGACACAGCAGGATTGGTGTCACCGGCTCCTGAAAGGGGAAGACACCCCTGAGGGCCGGTTGGAGAGGGAGAGCAGCTGCCCAAGGCCCTCCCGGAATAGGGGGGGGGCGGTGGGAGAGTGGGCCAGGGCTGGCCCCACCAGGACAGGGGTTCGGCCCAACCTTTCCATCTGAGGAAGGGGGCAAAAGATCAGGCTTCTTCCCTAAAGACACTAAGGATTTGAGGAGTACTTCTTTCTCCACCGAGCCTTGCTTGGCTTCTTTGTGTCAAAAGCAGGGCCGTGGTATGGTCCGCTGTATGCATGGAGGGCCGGCTCACACCGGCTTCCAACTCTCCGCTTCTCTGACCAACTCCGAGTTCCATGAAGTCATGCTGGTAGCTTGGAATCAGTCACGGTGGGAGTATTTACATCGTGAAGCCACCCGATGCTAAGCACTGGGGCTTCCCCTGCACCCTGAACTTGGCTGGTATATATTCATCAGCACGCAGTGACTGGCCTGCACCCCGACCCAGTGTGAGAGTTAATACGGGAATGGAAGGGAGGTGTGGGCACAGAGCAGGCCTTTGCCCATGACAGTTCCCTTCTCCTTCCTGCCTGGCTCAGCCCCTCTGATACTCCCTCCAGACATGAAGTTTCTGACTCATTTGACAGAGGAATGAGAATAAACCCAAATGGCCCACCTAGAGTCTCCCCGCTCACTCAGCGCCCACTTACGTCTCTAGCCGCCCTTCTAAAGCCCCTGCTCCCCACCCTGCAACTCGGCTAATCCCAAGTCACCTTGCCTGCTAAGTCCCCTGTGAGTCATTATGATCCATCTCAGCAGCCCTGGTGTGTCTAGTTCACTCAGGATCAAGGATGAGAGACTATCGTTAAAACTCCCAGATGCACATCTGGTGGGGCCTAAGCTCCAAGCCTGTTGCTTATGAATCAGTTCCACGGGATTTTCTCTCTTTGAGCTGGGATCAGCTGAGCTCCCCATCCTTCTGCTCCTCCACCCCACTCCACTACGTGATGTAAGGTCTGCTTCGGGCAAAAGCCGCCCCTGCTGCTACCTTCTCTGTGGTGAGCAGCCTAGTATGGATGGAAGCACTGGCCGGCTAGGGGCCACGAGGCACACACAGGGACACGGGGGCAGGGATCAAGTATGGAACCCAGGCCTTCTGGCCCTCTCTGCCCAGGTTCCCAGCTCCAGCTTAACCCTTGTTTGTGCATCCCAATAGGCTGCTGTCCATTCCTGGCCCTCCTTCAGTGGGTTAGGGCTCCTGGAGGGGCCTGGCCCTCTATTGAGGCAATTCTTGCTTCTCACCATCTTGAACGTGAAGCTCAAAATTCTCTTCCTCCAGCACTCGGGTGGGGCCTGGCCAGGGCAGATACAGCCTCAGCTAATGAATGAACAAACCCTGCCCTTCTCCTCACCGTGAGCAGCTGTGATCATCAGTAAGTATGTCCTCAGCTTTGCTGGTTTGTTCTAGCCATCTCTTGAATGTTTCTCCTGCATTCCCCAGAAGACCATAAGCTCCCCCAGGGCAGAGATCAAGCCTTGGAAGTCTCTGAGTCCTTCCTGAGCCCACCCACCATGGGACATGTGTGCGGTGGCATGTCCCCTTCTTGCCCATGCTCTAGGCACTTTATGAGCAGTTCAGCCAGGCTTTAGCCAACCCCAAGGGGGCTCCAGCAGCTGCTGGATTGGCAAGAGTCCAGGTCTGCCAAGTGGAGGGGACACGTCACTCGAAGGAGTGCGGTGGTGGACTGGGTGGTGGGCTCAGACCCTGCCCCTCCAGCCCGTTTCCCCTCCCTATCCCTAAACTCCAAATATGCAAAGCACAAGGGGGGCGGGGGGGGGGTGGCGCGGCGTGAGCCTCTCTGCCCTCCAGGCCTCTCTCCCAGGAAGGCAAGGTTACCTGGGGCAGAAGAAGGAAAGCCAAAGTCGTTTCCCACAGCCACGCTGCTGCTGGATTTGGATTTCTGGGACTCGTATTTCAAACGATCTGGAAAAGGATCACATTCCTGTCAGGACAGTGAGCTCTCTCCCAGTGGCACCCTGGGCCGAGATGCAGGAGGCTGTTGGAGGCCAAGCCCCCAAATCTCACATGACGCACACAAAATATGTGCACACGTGTCTCCCAGCTCTCCAAGAACCAGCTGTACCATAGAAACTACGGCCTGACAGGCACCTGGAATGGTAGAACATCACACTTAGAAGGACCCTGAGAGATCACACAGTCCAATCCTTCATTTAAAAGGAAAGGCCCTGGGGCGCCCAGGTGGCTCAGTCGGTTCAGCATCTGACTCTTTCCACTAGGGTCATGATCTCGGGGTTGTGGGATTGAGCCCCATGTCCGGGCTCCATGCTTGGCAGGGAGTCTGCTTGGTATTCTCTCCCTCTCCCTTTGTTCCCTCCCCTGCACTCTCTCTCAAATAAATAAATAATCTTTAAAAAATAAAATAAAATAAGGGGCGCCTGGGTGGCTCAGTCGGTTAAGCATCTGCCTTCGGCTCAGGTCATGATCTTAAGGTTCTGGGATCGAGCCCCATGTGGGGCTCCCTGCTCGGCAGGGAGTCTGCTTCTCCCTCTGCCCCTCCCCCCTGCTCCTGCTCATTCTCTCTGTGCTGCAGAGCTGGGGCCAGCCTTCTCCCTGCACACCTTATTCTTCCCCAGCTATACACCATCAGTCACATACACACACGTACACACTCCCACCGGGGCCCTCACTGTATCCCCCCACCCAACACACTCCCACCCTGAAGGGGAAAGGCAGCCAGGCTGGGGAGTAAGGTCCCCAGCCAAAGACAACCGAAACTGCCACAACACCTGAGAGCCCCTGTCCTGACATCCTCTGCTCGGGGAGGCACCCACGGACCCAGCTCCAGACACGTCGGGGCAAGGCCAGTGCCTGGCACACAGCAGATGTGCCGGGGCAAAGGAGAGGGCCCACGAAGGCACACCTGTCTTCCTCTGAGTCCCAGGGGAGGGAGAAGGGTTGGCTGGTGACTCGTGTCCCCGCTGGCAGAATTCTGGGGTTCCCACAGGGTAACTTGGTGGGGGCCGTGTATCAACAGGACCGAGGCCACGTTGGCCTCCAGCTCAGTGCGTCTTCTGAGCCCCAAGACTGAAGCCGACTCCAGCTCCCTTCCCCAGCCACAAAGGAGTGGCCGAAGTGCCCCCACCCAGGGCACCACCTCTCTCCAGGGCCAGGAGGAAGTCCCGGTTGCGCTGCAGCTCCTTCATGAACTCCTCGTTCTGCAGGAAGAGCGCAATCCTCTCGTCCTCCAGGTACTGCTTCCAGCGGTTTTCCTGGTCCCGGGCGCCGGGTCCAGCCACAGGGGGCAGGCCTCCCTCTCTGCTCCTGGGCTTGGAGCCCCCGGGGTTACCCTGAGGAGGGGAGCAAGCGAGTTGAATGGCTGCTCACCAGGGCACGTGCTGCACAAACATCCCTGCATATCTGGGTGCACACATGTCCTTTCCCAGGATCCTCCAGCCGCGCCCTGGGGCCTGCACCTGCTATCGGGCTCTAGTGGTCAGCCTAAATCCAACTCAGCAGGCCAGAGCCCTCTCTGCTGGGGAAGCAGTAGGGCTTAAAAACGATGCTTCCTCCCCCTTGGACCACCCCAGCCCTCATCTACAACCTGAACAGTCCTGGAAAGTGATCTGCAAGCCGCGCAAAACCTTGGCTAGCGCCACATGGAGGCCCAAACTCAAAACTCTCCCTGTCCTAGCTGTCTCGGGGCGAGGCCCCCTTCCCGCAAGGGCCCCTCAGGCCCTGCCCACATCAGGGGGAGAAGCTGCCCCTGGCCCTATCCCATGGGAGGGCGGCGAGGCGGCCGGCCCCTCTGCCTTTGGCTGCCCCTGTGCCCGCCTCCCTCCAGCCTGGGGTGATGGCTCTAGCCACAGACTCCTCCGGGCTGTCCCCTTCCCTGGGTGGAACAGGAAACCTCCAGGCCCAGACAGGAAACGAGGCTTTCGGTTCAGCATTCTTTCCCTGCGAACCCAGGGCAACAGAAATAGCCCGGCGCGGGCTTAAACATCAGGAAGTGAAACAGGCTGGCACAAACTGGGGCCAAGCAGAGATGCCGCACAGGCAGCCGGGGGCTTCCCCCATTACCTGTATGCTGTCCAGCTGCTGGGGCAGGATGCGGAGAAAGTCCTCGGGGAGGTTGCCCAGCAGCGGTGGGTTCCAGTTACGATAGCGCCTCTGGCTCGACACGGGTCCAGAGCCCAGCACATCGATGCTGGGGGGTGAAAGGTAACAACGAAGAGGGAAAAGTCAGGCCCAAACTCAGGAGTCGCGACCCATCACACCAGGATCCTGCTCAGAAGGGCATTTCTGCTCTGAAGCTTCCCGCGGCCTCCTCGGCCTCCAGGACAAAGGCCCAGCGCTCTCTCTCATCTTCCCAATCAGGCCTCTGCTAACCTCAGCCTCTGGCCGCAGGGCCCGGCTCCTCCAGCTCCAGGACAGTCACTGCTCTCTGGCTACTGCGGGCCCTCAAGGTCTCTAGGCCTAGAGCCCTCAGTGTTCATGGCGCTCGAGCTGGCTGTCATGGGTTTACGTGCAGATGTTTACGAATGTCCTCTAAAGACAGCAGGCGTGTCCCTAGCGCCCAGCACAGTGTGAGCTTGTGGCTGCTGAGGAACAGGTGCGCTCCCCACGACCAGACCCAGCAGCCGCGAAGCCCGGCCTGCTTGAATGTTGGTTTGCTGGGGTGGGGGGACATGGGGATGGCGGGACCCCTACAGAGTAGAGCAGATCCAGGCTCTAGTTCCAGCTCAGTCACAGCCAGCAGGGTGGTCCTGGGCAAGACCCTGCTCCCCTCTGGGTCGGAGCTTCCTCATGGAAAAACCCTCTCCCTGCCGAGGTGGGCGGGAGCCCCTCGTGAGGCTGTGTCTCGGGCACTGAAGGTGGGGATGGAAAGTTTCCTGTTGCAAGGGGTGCTCAGGAGCAGCTCTTCATAAGCAAGGTGCCTGGCTGGAGGTCCGTCGGCCACAGGCAGAGGCCACCGGGGCGGGGGTGGGGGGGTGGGGAGGAGACAGGGACAGGAAGAGAAGTGGTGGCAGGAGCCCTCCCTGACCCCCAGGCCCCCGCCCTGCCATCCGGGGCCAGGCCAGGAGCTCCCCACAGCGCCTCAGCAGCCTGAAGCGTGGCAACCGCAGGACACGTGTTCTGCTGAATCAGGGAAATGACACACACAGAAGGCAGCGGGGCCGGGGGCGGCGGGCCTGCCGCTCTCGCCTGGCTTTGATTTGTCTCCAGCTCCAGGAATCCCGCCCGCCCCCTCACTGGAGGGGAGCTTTTCCGGGCTGCCGCTGACTGTGGAAATAACTTCCTTTCCTTTTCTATTTTGGGCGGGTGGCCTGGCAGGGCGAGGGGGGGCGGGGGCGGCGGCAGACGGGGATAACAAGCTGCTAAGTGCACGGTGGGAGCCAGGGGAACCCGCCCGCCTCGTCCACCCTCCCGGGGCACAGGTGAGGGAAGGCTCCAGAAGAGCCTGCATCGTAAACCCAACCGGGACTCTGTGAGTCCTAGGCAGATCTCTCTCCACATCACTCTGCCGCCTTCTGTCACTGTTGGAGGCTTCACTTCTCCCAAGGGCCGAAGGCGGGGGAGAGGGTGCCCCCTCTCTTAGGGACTCGGGGACCACCCGTGGTTGGCCCCAGCACAGAGAATTCCTCTCCAGGGTCTTCCCCTAGGACCCAGGTACCCACTCCAACTCAACCACACTTGGAGCCACCCGGGAAAAGTGCGGAGGGAGAACCCCAGAGTTGCACTGGGACCCCTCTAGCCATTTGTTACTGAGCCCAAGAGGGGAGGGGGACAAGGAGCGGGGGACCCCTCCTCACCGTTTCCCTGGCGGCTGGGACCGTGGTCCCGAGGAAGGTCAGGCCCATTCCCTCCCGCGCCCTGGCGCTGGCAAAGGCAGAGATGAGGTAAGCCGCAGCTGCAAGAGCCGGGGGGGCCCTGAGCCTAGGCGGCCCAGGCAACTCCATTGTGGTCGGAAAGGAATGTCAGAAATGAGCTGAGAGGCAAATAAAAAACTTCCAAGGCTGTAATTTCAACGGGAAAACGGCAGGTGGCCTGTGCTGAGGGGTAGCTCTGGGTCTCAGAGACCTCCTTCATTCCAGAAAGAGAGGGAAGGGCAGGCTAGAGGAGGGGAAGGAGAGAGAAGGCTGGGAGGCTCTCCCGGCCCACAGCCTGGGCACCAGGACCCCCAAACTAAAACTTCACGCCCCATCAGACCCCCAAGTTTACCCATGGCACATCAGACCCCAGAAGGATTTCAGACATGAACCTTCTAGGCAGGATTTTTGGTAAAGACTGGACACTGAGGCCCAGAGAGAGTCAGGCCCTGTCCAGGGACACACAGATCGTGCAAGCAAAACCTGGGCCCAGGGGTCCTGACTTTTCAGGCACTCACGCCTGGGGTCACCCTGGCTCTCTATTGTCTCAGCAGGGCAAGCTCCCAAACCCCACCCCATCTGCAGTCCCTGAGGTGGCAGAGGGGCCTGGCCCCCAGTGGCCAGGGATTCTAAAACACTAACCGGATCCTGTCACTCTCCAGCTTAAGCCTGCTGACTGCAGGATAAGGCCAAAGCTCCTCAGAGGACCCACAAGGCCCCCATGATCAGCTCGCCTCTCCAGCCTCACGGCCATTCCATTTCCTGGAGTTCCCCAAAGCTCCCAGATGGTTCCCCCTCTTCTGCCTCCTGGCCTTTGCACATACTGTTTCCATTGCCTGAAATGCCCTCCTGTCCTCTGCTTCACTAGGACACCGTGTGGACATGAGTTCCTCGTTCCTCTAGGCAGACTTACTTTCTTGCCCCCAGTTCTATGCCTCCCCCAGCCTCTGATGTCCTCAGGGGGGCAGGGTAGTACTATATTCATCTCAGCATCACACACATCGTTCAGCACCTGCATACTGCAGGAGACTCAGTAAATGCTGGAAATGAATGTTCTGGATAGAGAGACTGAATGAGGCCCTGGAAATGGCCTACGAGTGGACCTGGCCTAGCAGGGCCATCCTGAGGCAAAGGGGCACATGCTCAGAGCCTGGCCCTGCTTCTTCTGAACACTGACCTCTGAGGGAAGCCTCACCACTGGTCTCAATATTCCATGTTAGAGCTCAGAGGCCAGCTGCGCAGCCTGGGGTGGGAAGGAGCAGTCAACCACAGGTGACAGGTCTGATCCCTGCCTGGGACTATGCTAAGTGCCCCACGCATAGTGTCTCGTTGGATCCTCACAGCACAGTACTGCTGAGCTGGGGATTAGTATTCCCATTCCACAGGTGAGGGGAGCAAAGCTCAGAGAGGCTAAGTAGTGAGCCAGAGGTCACACAGCCAAGCACCTAAAGCATCAGAAGCTTGGCAGCTGAAAGAAGGGGTAGGAGAGCACTTTTCTTTTTTCTGACTCTACAACTCAAGTTCTCTGTCCTGTATCCTCCCCAGGCCCAGCAAAGCCTTCATTGCCAGGTCAGGGCCCTGAATCTCAGGCCTCTTAAGCCTTGATCTAGAGCTGAGGTCACCCTGCCCCCAACGGTGGCTTCCATCCCCGAGCTGCACTGCGCCTGACCTCACAGCAGCTGTACGCCCAGCCAGAGGGGCAGAGGGAGGATGGGGCCTGGGTACCCACGCCAGGTTCACCCTGGGATTCTCTCTCTTATGGCCTCAGTTTTCCCTTCTGAAAAACAGGCAGAACCACTTTGCCTAGTAGACACTGGAGGTTTTGCAAAAGCATCTTGGAATATTAAAAAAAAGTTGTAATAAGTCAAAGGTAAACCACTTAGCCCTGGGCTCCATGACCCATGCCAGGCCGCAAGTCCTGCCAAGGCCTCACCCAGACCAACCCATGCCCTCCCTGCCTCCCACCCCACTGGAGCCTCCTGGTACCACCGGCAATAAAGGAAGGACCCCAGGTCTGCTCCTGTCTCCGACTTAAAACATTGTCCCCTCTGTCCTGTGACCTTCTAGGCCTCCATCAGCTCCCTGAGCTGCAATCGCAGAGAATTTTCTCATTAGGGAGGTGAGAGACACAGCAGCGAAGACATTGGTTTTGGAATCAGAATGGCCTGAGTTCACAGCTCAGCTCCATGGTGTTGGGAAAGTTATGAAACCTGGCTTAGGCTTAGTTTCCTCCTCTGTGAAATGGGGACGCTGACAGTGCTCTCACAAGCCGTTCGAGGATTAGAACATGACAGTGTATACATAAAGAGCCTCACTGGTTCCCAGCACTTGGTAGCTGGTGGCTGGGGTCATTACCCCCTACCTGCACAGCAGAGGTCTCCACTACCACGGCCTGAGGTGCCCAAGACCCCCAGAAGGAAAGATCCACTGGGACTAGCCCCTGTCCCATCATCTCCCCCCAACTCCTCAGCACCCCGGCGCTGAGCCATTCGAAGGAACTACAGCTCTAGGACAGAGACGCCCAGGCTCCAGCAATCCCACTACAAACAGGAAGCACAGGAAAGCACCTCAGAGACTGTGGGACCCGGCTGGCAAGCGGCTTCGTGTAAACCCGCCAGACTACAGAGCCCCTCACCTGGAAGAAGTCTCCCAGGACCCTGCAGTCTAGTCCTCTGCCTCCACTTATCAAACTATCCCGGAAAAAAAGACTTACTTGCTCCCATTGCCTAAAAATCCCCGCAACATCCCTAGACCAGGGATGGCAAATAGGTATCCATCCCCTCAGTTACTGCTGACTGTCTGGGAGCTGCTGCGTGGAAGGGAACTCTGAGGTTCTGTCTCCACCGAGCGGGAAAGAGCCCAGTGGTCAATTAGCAATGTGTACCATGGGCTCAGCAGGGGAAGTGTCTACACACTCCCTGTGTTTACTTCTGCCACTTGCACGGGCCTTGACTGTGAGATCCCAGAAGGCAGCGCCACGCCTTATGTAACTCCGTGTCCCATTTCATGTTCCGCGCAGCACCTAGCCTAGAGTAGCAATTCAGCGAATGTTTGCCCTGGGGATCCTTCCCATGTGGAAGTTCTCCTTGGTATCTAGCTACAGTGTTTCTTGCTGCAGTAGAAGCCTGTTCTTGCTAGAATAATATCCTGAGGGGTCCAGCCAAGTTTTCCACGGCGTTTGTACTCAACCCCAGCCCCTGATCCCTTTCCCCCACCGCCCTGCGCTCCGAGAGGAGCGGGTTCTCACCGGGGAGGTGGCGTGGGGGGAGCCAGAGGGTAAGGCCTGTCAAACATGTGCATGTGATAGGCTGGCGGGGAGTAGACAGGTGGGGGTTCTTCATCAGAGCTGTCAGGCTCCAAAGTCCTTTCCAAGATCTAGAGCAGAAACAACAACAACAAAAGACATGTTAACAATCCTTCTCTGAATTTAAATAACATTCAGACGAAAGCCAGGGGGGCAAGGGTGCATCGTAAGGGAACGCTGTGTCTCTGCGGGAGTGTAAACGGATAGGGCCACCACTTTGCCAAACTGTTTGGTTTTCTGTAAAGCTGAACGCATGGCTGCCTCTGACCCTACAGTTCCAACATACTCAATGGGCATGAAAGCACACGTCCCCAAAAGAATGTTCAGAGCAGCATTATCCATCTGAGCAAGGTTTAAAAACAGGCCAAACAAATCACGGGGCTAGAAGTCAGAGCAGGAGGACCTCTGTGGGGGTGCAGCAGGCCGGGACGGGACACCAGGGGGATTCCAGGCTCTGTGGGTGTTTCCTGACCCTGGGCGCCGGGGCAACTTCATTGAGCCACACACGTATGGTTCGCGTACTTTTCGGGACATGGGTTATTTCTGATAAATAACTTCAACATCATTCGTACTCTCTCTCAAAGTACCTCCATATCAATGATCTCACCCGAAGTCAAACAACTTGGCAAGGTAGAATAGAGTTCGTTACTCCCATTTTATAGATGAGGAAACTGAGGCCCAGGCTAAGTGACATGGCAAAGCCACATGCTCTCTTTAGAACTGAGTCTTCAACTTGGACATGGTCTCCACAGCAAGGATCCGTCCTTCAAGCACAATGCCCACACGCCCTGGTTGGATTCTTAGGGCGGACAGTGGCAAGGGGAGTACCCAGGATGCCTCTCCCTCCTGGATGATTCTCTTCATCCAGAAGCCAGATACAGGGGCAGGGAAAAGCCAAGGGCTGGGCAAGGCCCAGAGTTCCTGCTCCGTGGACTGACCTGGATCCTTCCCCAGGGATCCACAGAGGAGTCTGGGGCAGGAGGCAGGAGGTGACCATCAACCAGGAGATCCCAGGTCGGACACACCCCAGCTGGCCTACACCTTAGCTTCCTGCTCCCTGTTCTCTGCTCCCCACTTCTGTTCCATCTCTTCCAAGACCAAAGAACACGGGAAGGGCTCAGAGGCTGTCAGTGGGCCCCAGAGTCCCCAGGCCCTGCATCTTAACCCCGAGTGAGTTTGCAGAAGTCACGCTAAACTGCTTCTGCAAGCCTGGGCGGGGCCGGGCGGCACTGGCACTTGTCGGCCCTGAGCCCACCCCGCCCGGGCACCCAGGGTCTCGCAGGGACACGCTGGCAGGTGGACAGGTGGGCAGCACACACACAAGCGCGTACATGCTCTCACACACACTGCCACACTTTGTGCATACACAGCCAGCCCGACCCGAGGAGGCCTCCCGCCCTGGAATGCACTAACGTTCTTTCCTTTCAGGCGGAAAGTATTTAAACAGATGCTTTTGCAGAAAAAGAAGAATGTAGCTGCTTTGTGGGCCACTGCTCTGCTTAGCCCAAATGTCCACAAGAAAAAAAAGAAAGAGAGAGAGAGAGAGAGAGGGAACACTGCAAGCTCCAGTCTAGCTCACTGGGGAACGTCGGGTGCCTGGCACAGGACAGGGGCTCAGCAACTGCCTGGCGCACCCAGAGAACAGTGTTGCTTCTGCTCCCAGCCCGCACTCCCTGTCCCTCAGACCCTGCTGCTCTGAGGGACAGGGTTCCCGACTGGGGCCTTGAGGCCAACTTCTCCTTCAGGGGCTGGTGTGAGGGACACGGGTGAGGAGGGGAGAGCTGTTTCCTGGGTGAGGAGGGGAGAGTTGGATTCTTAGGACGAAGGAAGCTGCTTGAGGTTTCCTAGGCCACGGCCTGTAGCCTCCCGCCTCCAGACTCAGGGAGATCAGGCCTCTGTGCGGCTGCCCCAGGAGGCCCCCCTCCCCTCACGGCCGCTCCTGCTCCTCAGAGCAGCCTCCTGGGCTGCAAGAACCAGACGTTCATCAGAAGCTCCTGGAGCAGAATGAGGAACCGCCAAGGAGGCAGGCAGCGGGCCAGGCACGCTCCAGAAAGGCTGATCCCGAGCCTCCAGGGAGAGTAACCCCAGCCGTGTTCCTGGCCCCCCTCGGCCTCTCTCCCCACAACCCCGCCAGCCACACTGAGGTTGTTCTTCGGGCTGTAAGGGCGCTGAAGTCTTCGGCTCTGTGGCCCTGCGGCTTCACTCAGCGTGGGTGATGGATGCCTGCCAGGTGCTCCGGGGACCAGGGTCCAGGCCACTGATCTGACAGGAGCTATTTCTCTGTGGCAAGGATGCCCCTTGGGCCAGCCCGCCATCCATCAGCCGCCAGCGAGGGGGCTTTTTCCAGTCAGCAGTTAGTGTCATTCCAGCTGCTCATAAATCTTCTGAAGCACTTCCCGCTGCCTCAGGAACTGCCTGCCGATGCGCCAGGCAGAGCCCCAAAGGTGGGCGTCTGGGGCAATAGCCACGGAGGGATGTTGAGAAGGGGCTCGATTTGGAAAGCAAGAGTCTCAGAAAAACAGGAGCACGCCCAGTGCAGGCCTATCACCATCAAAGGATGGTGAAGACCCGTGGAGATTCACAGGCCCACGGGTGCCGTGGACAAAGGAGGAAAGATTATTCTACCCTACCTGCCAGACTGCAGAATCAATGAGACCGCAGAAAGGGTCAGAACATGCAGAATACTTTCCTTCCAGCTCACACTTAAAGGATGTATTTGCCTCTCTCTCTGTCAAATAAATAAATAAATTTAAAAAAAAAAGGGGGGGGTGCCTGGGTGGCTCAGTTGGTTAAGCATCTGCCTTCGGCTCAGGTCATGATCTTAGGGTCCTGGGATCGAGCCCCACATCGGGCTCCCTGCTCAGCAGAGAGTCTGCTTCTCCCTCTCCCTCTGCCTGCTGCTCTGCCTACTTGTGCTCTCTCTCTCTCTCTGTCAAATAAATTAATTAATTAAAAAAAAAAAGGATGTATTTGCAAAGACACACTCACACACACACACTCACCCCTCCTTCCCACAGAGAGGATCTGGGTTTTCTGAGACCCCTTCCACTGGCTAATCCAGGCCGTTCGAAGGAGCGGTCTCCCAAAGAAAGAGACTAAAGAAATCTGTGCAAAGACCGGAACAGCACTTATTCACTCAGCGAGCGTTCCCTGGGTGCCTGTTACGTGCCAGGACTGTCCTGGGTGCTGCAGGTGACACGGGGAGGAGGCAGATGTCATCGCCCACGGAGCTTCTCCTCCACCTGGAGGGAGAAATCGCAGGCAGCACCAACTAAAGGAAGAAGGGCCAGCGGCCTCGCCCTGCAGAAGGACTCGGGCTGACAGGGTCCTAGATGCCTGCAGGGCGGTGTGGACCAGGAATCTGAGGGCATATCTGGGCCTAGGTTTTCTCTGTCAACGAGGGTAATAATAATAATAATGCCGCCTCACAAAGCGCATGAGGACTGCAAGGACGGATACATCTGAAGCCTGTAGGATGGTGCCTGGCACAGGATGGGACTCAGCGAAGAGCAGAGTTAAATGCCATCTGCTGGGCCCTTCCGTCCTGTCCCTGGCCACATGTCCCACCACATGTACCTTCTCGCTGCCCTGCAGGCAGTGACCCGATCACAGAAAGACTCTGTGCGCCCCTTCTGCACCCAGCACAGCAGGTCCTGCGGAGACCGGGGGTCACACATTTACTGGAGGGGCCAGGTGGGCCCTGAGGCAGCAGGGTGGTCCCTTCTCCCCCAGTGACCTCGCTGAGAAAGGAGGGAACTGCTCGGGCACTGCCTGCTGCCGCCTCCATCATGCCTTGGTCAGAGGAATTTAACTAGTATGTCGGAGGTCCCTCCTCTTTGGTGGCTCCCCATGCTCTCTCTCCACGGCCTGGCCTTCTCAAGCTCCCGGTCTCTGCCCCTCCAGAGGTCCTGACAGATGGTCCCGCTGCGGGCTCCCTAAGTGACCCGTGCTCTGTCTCACCTCTGAGCCTTTGCAGGAGCGCTTCCCTCCGCCTGCACACCCTGTCTCTCACTCCCCACTCTTTCTTTGGGCCTCAACTTGGCTATCCCTTTCTCTGGGAAGCCATCCTCCTCTCCTGCTCCCACTTCTCCCACCATAAGCATTTATCGCTCTCCCAGCTCCCACTGCCTGAGTCTTGTGAGCTCTGTGCCCACAGAAACCCGGTCTGACTTGGCCACGGTGGACACCCAGAAGTGCAAAAGGAGCCTTTCCAGGAAAAGACAGGCTAGAGGGCCCCAGCCTGGAACTGGACTTCAGTATGTTGGAGTAGGGCCCGAGTGTCTGCATTTTTAACAAGCTCCTCAATTCTGATGGCCCCTGAGCGGGGTCTAGTGCCATGCCTGGCACACCACCGAGTAGGTGCGCCGTGTTTGTTGAATGACTGCATGATTTCTGCCCATAAAAGGCCACTGACCGGCTTGGGTACGGGGTTCCTACGAGAAAGGGGCTACCGGCGAGTTAGAAGTCAGACAGGTCTAACGACCCAAGTCCTCTAAGAGGTTCAATCAGCGGTGAATGATGGGGGGGGGCGCGCCCCTACCTCCGGGGGGATGCTGTCCTCCGAGTCGGAGCTGTCCTCATAGACGCTGCCGCCACCGCCCTCCAGGTTCATCTGCAGCAGCTGGTCGATGGTGGCGTCCACGGCGCCGCTGTTGGCGCGCAGCACGCACTCGATGATGTCGTAATCCATGCTGGGGAACATGGTCTTGAAGTCGTCCATGGCCTGGTTGAACTCGAGGCGGCGCACCTGGCGGGCGGGCCGGCTGTTGTTGA